CAACTCCTTAATGACTATGGGCAGCTTAGTAAACCTAACTGACCTGCCTTAATAACTATGACCAGCTATTCACTTTTCCAAATGCTCTTTGTTCAGTTTGAATACCATTCCTGTTCAGCTGCAGCCAACCTGACAACCAGGAAACAGATATAAGGAAATCCGTTTTCATAAACATCCATGAGAATGATCTAATTTATCTGGCATAATACAATTCCTCCCCCAATAAGTAATGTAGTTATATTTTGGGTTGCCAATACCCCATTCCAGAACTCCAGGTCATTACAATATAAATCTCTTCTATCCTGGAACCTTGGTCTGTGGGCAGGATAAAAAGGGAACAAGCGGAAGAGAATTTCAATAATCCTTTGGGTTAAGACTGCTATTTTTTATTTACATTGTGATCCTCTTTCACTAAATGCTTGATTGGTGGTCTTGAGCTGCCCCTTTAATGTTTTAAATTGACATCTATAATTGCACACCCATTTAGCTTGGCTAGTTTCAAACACTACTTGTAAATCGTCTTGGGAAAATTTTACATTTTAAAGGAAAAGTTCTTTCTTTTTTTTTTTCATTTATTTGTATGCATTCAATCTTAGTTTGCTCCACAGTGATCCGTTTCTAACAAAAGCTTTTCCAAGGCTGCAATTTATCGTGCATCGAGCACCCCAGAAAAACAAAAAACAACCAGTATTTGATTTTCTGCAACACTTGTGTAGAATGTTAACTTAAATAATGGTCTCCCAATAAATCTATTCTGCATTCAGTGTCAATTTTTTAAAAGATGCCAAAAAACAAGCATGATAGAAATCAGCTAGGAAAGCAAATTAAAAAACAATCCCCTTTTCAGAAACACATTTCAATGTTCTCTCAAAACATTAGATGAGGTACCAACATTCCTTTCAGTAGAGAGTGTAGATCAAACAGTATTTTTGTACCTTGTTTTAGTGGAAAAGTATCACGCCAAAAGCATATCAATATTATTTGCTATATGTATTTACATTTTTTTTTTTTGCCTGCCAGGATCTTCTAAAGCAATGTATAGCTTGAAAACAGTGGGGTAAAAAATCAACGTAACACGATAATCAAGCCAGAATTGTATTAAAATCCATTGAAACTTCTGTTTCCCTTGAGAACATGATAAGGATTGAATCAGTCTGACTCTCCATGGGATAATGTCACTGTGAAGGTCCTAATTCTAGGGCAAGCAGCTTTGAGGACTAGTAAGCACATTAGGACTTTTGTAAGCATGCTGTAGATGTTCTCACAAAAGGAGAACATATACAGCATGCAGAAATGCAAAATGTATGGAGAAGGGTTGCCCATTCTCAAAATGGTTGCTGTATGTGATATGGCCAACCCTCAAAATGTTCCTTTACCAAAAGAGAGGAAGAGAAGGGTTGCCCGTTCTCAAAATGGTTGCTGTACATCATATGGCCAACCATCAAAATGTCCCTTTACCAGAAGAGAAACAACTAAGGCTCCTTGAGCCCCCAGGATGAACTTTACCACCTCAATTTCCATTTCCCTTTTCTAGACAGATGGGCCTGCTTCCAAATAAAGCCCTGAGTGGTAGCATTTTCTAAGAATACCTATGGATTAACATGGGGCATGGCAGCATTCTTGCAACTAAAGTTGGCCCTACAGGCTGGCAATTTCTAGCATAAAACTGAACCAGGTGCTCAGTATGATATAGGAAAGAAAGCAATTTCCATAGGTGGTCGTGTAGAATACAGAAAGAAAAGCTACTGGAATTAATGTGGCCATACTGCTTGTCACAACACATGGTTCAATGTACCTTGAGTGGGTTCATCAACTGCTTTTCCTTTCCTGCTATGGCTGTTGTAACTGAGTCTGAGTTCTTGTCCGAATTCATTCAGGGTTTCTCTAGACTCGTACGACTGTCTTGCCTTTCTCCCATCTTCACTCTCGTCTGAAGAACTCGTGTAAGCTAGATCCATTTCATGCTTAACTTTGGATAGGGGCTGGTAAGGTTTACAGTCCATCTGCTCCATTTCTGACTGAGCAAGCGCAGGGTCATGAAAACAACGGAGTAAGGCTTCTTAAAGTAATACACCTGGAAGAGGAAAAAAAAAATAGTGTAACTCTCACGTGATATTTATTTATGTATTTATTTAACTCCATTTCGAGGCCACACAACTCCTTAATGACTATGGGCAGCTTACAATTAAAAAAAAAAGTATATAGAAAGCATATAGAGAAGATATCACAACTGACACAACTACGCTTTCCCGATAAAAAAAATCAAAACCCCAGGCACTCTGCAACCATCTTCTCCCAAGGCCTGGGAGAACCAATGGAGTTCTTTCCATGATTTTTCTAATGGTAAGTGATTTGTCTTGGGCAGCCAGCTGAAGAAAATATAAGAGTATAACACTGTTCATGTGTGGAAATATTTTAGCCTCTTAATTATTAGGAAATAAAGAATGTCAGTAGGACTTCCTCCACTGGAAAATGAGTAAAATGAATTAATATTATATCAATTAAATAATGGCCCACTTTGGATACCCATTCTAAGCTTCATAAACCGTGTTTGATGGAGCCAGAAACAAGATTCTGTAGAAATCTTTGTATCTAAAAGTAATTTATGTGGAACCAGCATTAAGTCCATTTTGAAACTACTAATTGGGGTAAGGGAATGGGTCCTATGCATTGAAACAAAACAAATATCTGCCCGTTTTATAACTAGGTATAATTATGCAATAGTTACTACATTAAAAAAAGACAACTCACATTAAGTAACCTGGTTGTCCTTGGTTTCATTTATTCTCCAGTTACTTAATTAATTTTATAAACCCTGTCTCATACGCACACAGAAGTAACCTGTGTCCACATATCATCCAAAGCCATGTCTTGCTTAACTATGGTTCAGTGAATACATTGCTATTGGCTTGTACACATATCATGCTTAAAGTGTTGCTTGGTTTAATGTATTGAGAAAATGCAGATGGACATGGATAGTCAAATAACTTTGGTTCATGTTTCTTCTTCTCTGAGTGATCTTCTGAACATTAACAGTTGCCGATAATACATTCTTTCTGACAGCTAATAAAAAGTATATGTGTCAAGGAAAAGGAGAAAAATCATACTGTTTTAGTTTGAAGACTAATCTACATAAAGGGCAAAAACTTTAATCTATCATAATCAGTGGCAAAATATGCATTACTTTAATGGCCCTCCTGCATTTTCCTGCACTAAAATGTAAATTATTAGCAGAAAGCAAGTTTTTTATGGAGTACATTTTTGACCTTTGAAAGTGACAAGGAAGGAAGGAAGGGAGATATATGAGAACCAGTGTGTTGTAATGGCTAAGGTGCTGGTCTAGAATTGGAGAGACCCATGTTCTAGTCCTCTCTCAGGCACAGAAGCTCTCTTTCAGCCCTAGACTGGCAAGATGAAGAACATCTATTTGTCAACCTGCAGTCAATGTGGTAGATTATAGTCCATAACTTTCATCCTGCAGTGGATTGATTTGGACTGATTAAGATACAGAAATATGTAAAGACACATATCTACATACATGCGTGCGCGCACACACACACACAGGATCAAATCAATCCATTGCAGGATGAAGGCTTCTTCATAAAATATTACAGATGGTATCCTACATATATAGGACCATCTCTCTCTCTCTTTCTCTCTCTCTTTCTCTCTCTCCATTGTGTGTGTGTGTGTGTGTGTGTATCCTCCTTTTCCTGTTGAAATCCTAGTTTATGCCCTAAAAATTAACCAACTGCAAAACAGCTGTGATGTAATCATGTAAAATAGCCACCTAAGTCTTAAAATCCTTCAAGGCATCTATAACAAAATTTAAATTAAGGAATAGCAATTACAGTGGAACCTCGGGTTACGAACGCTTCTGTTAACGAACTTTTCGGGTTAC